AATAACCTGCAGAGCAAAGGACATCCTTGGCTGTGTTTTAATGTTAGAAGCTTGATGGACTAACACATTTGTAGTTTTGATCTTTTCATGAGCAAACTCTATCCTAGGTAGTACCTTAATGATACAGAATAATTCCAGCCTTATCCTTTAAAACCAGACCACCTACACTGCATTCAAATGGCATTTAAGAAATGTTTTCAGAAGACCCACTATCACAATTTCAAAGGATCTGCATGACATAACACTGCATCTCCAAACCTCATGGTAACAAATGAAGCAAACATTAACACTTTCATTCCGACTTTGACCTGACAATCAAAGTCAGTGATAGCTTTATGAGACCTTCATAGAGATAAAAACAAAGCCAGAGCTAATATGACAATAGCCAAGGTGATATTTTATGGGCCTTTTCTGTTCTTGCTCGCTTACTGGACTCTGTTGTAAACGCCCACATCATATCGTGCACTGAACATATTGTTCTTGGTTGGCTTTCAATAATGTAGTCTATCTCAAAGGAGAATTTGAGTCATGTGAGATAAACCGTTAGCCATATCTGCACCTCTGCATACTTGGCTTTACAGCACAGTTAGCATTTCCACATCTTCCTCACATCTAAGCTGCGCATTTTAGTACACATATTTTATTGTCCCTTAAGACCTGAAAAGGACAATGAACTGCAGCTGACCCCAGTGTGTTCCCTCTTTCACCACAGAAGAAGCCATATACTATCCAGGGCTTGGGGTTTTACAATGCTGTCAAGGTGAAAGAGGTAGAAAATCTGTTTCTCTGGTTTCACAAACAGGTGTGTAATGTGAAAAGGGATGAAGACAACATCTACAGGGAGTACAACATGTGATTCTTATTGTGGCTCCTCAACAAACACATTTAAGTGGTTTATCAGAGATGTGATTTGATGTCAAATGAGAACAAAACAATTCAACCTGTCATATGAGAAGCCATAATACAAAATAAAGTGTCCTGATACAGAAAAAAATATGTGTGATGCTATAGAAAAGACAGCTATAGTTTTCTTTGCTGGGACACATCAGACTATATACAGTAGAATGCAAAGGTTTGGGCACCCCTAGTCAAAATTTCATTTACTGTGAATAGTTAAGTAAGTAGATTAACTTATCTCCAAAAGGCATGAGTTAAAGATGACACAGTTCTTTGATATTTTGATACTTAATTACTTTTTAATTTCAACCTTTTACACTTTCAAAATAACAATAAAGTAAAAGTGCCTGAAGCAAAAGTTTGAGCACTTTGCATGGTACAGTAATTACTTAGTAGTGCCTCTTTTGGCAAGTATCACAGCTTCTAAACACTTTTTGTAACCAGCTAAGAATTTTTGCTTTGGGGATTTTCACCCATTCTTCCTGCAAAAGGATTCTAATTCTGTGAGATTCTTGGGCTGTCTTGCATGCACTGCTCTTTTGAGGTCTGTCCACATATTTTTAATGATGTTTAGGTCGGGGGACTGTGAGGGCCATGGAAAAACCTCCAGCTTGTGCCTCTTGAGGTAGTCTATTGTGGATTTTGAGGTGTGTTCAGGATCATTATCCTGTTGTAGAAGCCATCCTCTCTTCATCTTCAGCTTTTTTACAGATGGTGTGATGTTTGCTTCCAGAATTTACCGGAATTTAATTGAATCCATTCTTCCCTCTACCTGTGAAATGTTCCCTGTACCAATGGCTGCAACACAAGCCACAAGCATGATCAATCCACCCCTGTGTATTACAGTTGGACAGGTGTTCTTTTTATGAAATTCTGCATCCATTTTTCTCCAAACATACCTTTGCTCATTGCATCCAAAAATTCTATTTTACATTCATCAGTCCACAGGACTTGTTCCCAAAAAGCATCAGGCTTGCTTAGATGTTCCTTTGCAAACTTCTGACGATGGATTTTATGGTGAGGACACAGGAAAGGTTTTCTTCTGATGATTCTTCCATGAAGGTCGTATTTGTACAGGTGTCACTGCACAGTAGAACAGTGCACCACCACTCCAGAGTCTGATAAATCTTCCTGCAAGTCTTTTGCAGTCAAACGGGGGTTTTGATTTGCCTTTCTAACAAACATATGACTAGCTCTCTTGGAAAGTTTTCTTGGTCTTCCAGACCTCAACTTGACCTCCACAGTTCCTATTAACTGCCATTTCTTAATTACATTACAAACTGAGGAAACAGCTACCTGAAAACACTTAGCTATCTTCTTATAACCTTCTCCTGCTTTGTGGGCTGAGTTATTTTAGTTTTCAGAGCGCTAGGCAGCTGTTTAGAGAAGCACATGGCTGCTGATCAAAGGAGCAAGGTTTCAGGAGTTAGTGTTTTTGGTTTGTGCTTTGGTTTGAACTTTGTACTATAACCATGGTTACCAGTAAGCTACAGCTAAAACAAAGATAAAACTTCATAGTACGGTGTTAGAGTCTGAGTCTGAATGTGTTTAAATGTTGTAACTGCCATTGACGGATACCTACAAGTCAAAGGGCTTTCTGTGACCATGGTAAAATAAAAATGCTGTCCACTATTTTATTTCTGTTTTACCAATTTATTTCATTGTGTATAAATTGTTTCCATCAGTCCTCTTCAATGCCACACTCAGAGATTAAGGTCTGCATACTTGCCCATTTGAATCTATCAGCTCTTTTTTTTGGCCAATTGGTGTCAGTGGGACAAGCTGACAGCACAACATTGATATATTATCACTGTATAAAGATGGTTAATGTCTTGGCAAACAATTTATGTGCATTTTTAGTTTGTGCATAAAAAACCCTGAGTGGAAATGGCAAAAATTTAACAAATCTTGCAAATATTGGTGGGAAAGTTGGTGTATCTGTAAAAAGGTTAATGCAACTAAGTGCAATTGAAACAGATTCAGCAAATAAATGACAAAGTAATGTTATAGTCATTTCATAAAAAAATCTGTAATAAAGACCCCAATCAGGAACTATTAGGAAGGGAAGTGCAAATCAGGAGCAGGGCATTTCAAGCAATCCTGTTGAAACTTATGTGGATGACACTGGACCTATTTCTTCAGGTATTCTGAACTAGTATGATCAACACAGAGAGGAATTGTGTGTGTAAATTAAATGACAGTCTTAAACTGTATGCTCCATATTTAACCAAATCACCTGCACCATCCACAGCATATCCCCGATAAAGTGCTCATTTTAGCTTTTGCCATCTTTTAAACTTTATTTAAAATCATGCCAACTGAGGGAAAGGGCAGAGGGTCGATTCAGAGAAACAGAGAGCTGCAGCAATTGGAGGGGTTCAGGGCTGCAAATGGATCTCATCTTTCATAACTCCTCTTCCCTTCCTGTTCATAATGACTGAGCTTTACAGCTGTGTGACCATAAAATGACATTCATAAAATGGAAGGGATTATGGTAAATGTCTGTTAATGTCTAACTACAGAGTGGAACATGAGATAATCACTTGGAGATTATGGAGAATGAAAGGAACAACAATATTATAATTATCCATTACTTCAGAAATGTAAAAAAAGTAAGTAATTGGATAAGCAGTTGGATAAAAAGTTACAAATAGTGGGGAGTTTCAAAGACAGATACTGACATTTTTTTAGACTTAGCATCCTTAGATGTGACAATTTTTAAACTAAAAAAAAAAAGAAAAGACTGTTGTTTTTTTCCACCAGTATTTATTTCTGGCACAGCCACCTGTTACACCTGCTGATTGTAAGTTTGAGAATACAGTCAACACTGCTACATTGTAACTAGTTAGTTTCACACTAAAATCCCCAACTGGATGAGCTGCCCCATGTTAGCCTGGTGAGAACATCCTGATGATGTGAGCTAAACATTCTGTTTTGCTCTCTGTATCAGTCTGGACTCAATGCTGCCCCAAACACTTTCAGTGGGTCAGATTACTAACCTTGACCGACAAACTCCTTCAGCCAATAAGCATAACAAAACACCTGTAACATATTCTTCATCACCAACAGAGTCAGTTGATAAATCAGGCTTTTTCTAACTCCAGTCAGAAGAACAGCGAAAAATGTATTTTCCTCCGAGAACCTCTGCAAATCTTGTTCTTGTTTAAGTGTTGTTATTGACCCTATTTCTTCAATAACTTCACTTATTGCTGCGTTTACTAATGTTAGAGTTAGCGCTTGTGGCTTCAGAAGCCGCCATTACTGTTCTGCAAACTGCTGCATGCATTTTACGTCATCAACTACAATGCAGCCCCTGATTGGCTGCTTACCTTGTCCATCATGATGACCCCTGATTGAGTCTGACTGGATTTTAATTCTGGGACAAATCGGTTTCTAAAGTCATGAAATAGGGAGGCTTGGGTGGTGACTTTCAGCGTAAGACACCAACGAAAAAAGCTGTCCTTTCACGTTGGCCAGGTTTATTTTGAAAGAGACTGTTTGCAAACTGTACATTTCCCTTGAAACCAAAGTGTATTTTGAAAACACACAATGCATGTAACAGGCTGAAGGTGACACTGCATCCTAGAACAAAACCCAGGGTACCTTGCACGTCATATCTCAATTTGGAAAGTCCATGAATGTCAAAATGTTACGAGGTCGGGGTGAGAATATGTTGTTCTGGAAAGTGTTTGGGGTGGCATTGAGTTCAGACTGATACAGAGAGGAAACAGAATATTGAGCTTAGCTCATCAGGATGGTCCTACCAGGCTATATCTACATATGCTACAATTAAGTTGTAGAAAGTGAATTTTGGATGACCTGGAAGAGCTTCTACATTAATAAATATTCTTGAAAAACTTCTGATTAACTTCTAAAATCCTTGCTTATCCCAACTTGTTCATTTGTGTTCCGGGCTTTATTTTCAAAAAGTTAGAATTACAGTAAAATTTTGGATAGTAAGTCAGTATAAGGATATCTGACAGAGCAAATTATGTCTTCACCAGGTGAGGCTGGTATTTACAATCCCATTGTTAATGTATCACCTGGTGGAGTGAATAGGAGGGGAGATGCTGCCCGTGGCTACATATAGAAGTTCCCCTTCCCTTGTAAGCACTGTCTCAGTGTGTTGCTCCAGTACAGGCAGACAACATGGGGAAAGGTTTCTTCATCAGTAAAGCTGTTGGAATAGTGGGTATCATCCTGGGTGCGGGGGCCCTGGCCACTATCATAGCTCTATCTGTTGTTTACTCACAGGAAAAGGCAAAGAATAATCAGGTTTCACCAGAAACAACAACCAAACCCCCTGTCACGACACCTGCTCCGTCAAATGAACCTTGGGACCAGTATCGACTGCCCAAGAACCTGGTGCCGGACCACTATAATGTCACCCTGTGGCCACGACTGACTCCAGATGAGACAACTAAACTCTACATCTTTACTGGTAAGGTTTTATGAGTATAATGCTCATCATCAGCAAAATTGTTTTGTTTTATACAAAGTGGTTGCATTCAACTGGTTTTCAGGGTCTAAATCTAGCCTCTTTGGTCGACAAGGATCAAAACCAGCAGTAGTTTGGAGGCAAGGAGACAGAGAGTAGATGGAGATTATGACTGATAGAAGGCTGATCATTACAGCATTATTGAAAAAAAAACACACCTCCTGCTTGAGGGGATTCTGGATTTGCATCCTGACTTGCTTATTACAATTTTTCAGCCTAATTCAAAGCACTCCATGGCTTCTTAAAAGGGAAAACCACCTAAATCAACAATTCCAATATGTTATTTCCCTGGCAGAGGAAAGTTTAATAAATATTTGTGAACACGAGCTACTCTCCCTCAAAGCCTAAAATCAGAGAAGTAAGTCTCAAACTTGTGATGTTATAGGGTATAAAGCAGACCAGTCGTTAGGAAATATGGGCAGAGGGACAACATTTTCAAAAGTGGGCCTCTTATCCACACCAATCGGGGGGAGGGGGGCCAAATTCCTATCCAAGTAATCATATTTCCACATGTATTTTTTTTTATCTACTCTGTGTTAAGACCTTATTATCTTATTTTGAAAAGCAGAGGTAGTCATATGTTTGTCCTGGGCTGAAAAAAAGCCCTCCAATGAATGATTAGAGAAAAGTTAAAATCAAACATTGATTGAAGAAATTACCACAAGGTATTAAATCATTACATCAAATCAGGAGTGAGCATATCATCTTTTTTCTTCATTTATTCATTCACTCTTGAGGGCTACTTTAATGTTGGTCAAATTGTGTGCAGAAACCCAATTACTGCAATTCCGAGACTGTTCAGGGACTCTCTCATCAAAACTTATTATGACTTTAGAGGGTTACCTGGCTCCCTTTCTGACAAAATAGCTTAACATGGTTGGTACCAATGGATGCCTTAGGTCCTCTAGTTTAATGTGTCCTAGCTTTTAAACTGAGCCCAATGCAGCAGGTTTTCTTACTAAAAATTAGTCTGCTTCACTCATCACCTTCAGCTCTGCCTGTCATACCAGATTTTTTTTTTTAACTCAAATGAGTTTATTAGTGTTCTCAGTTCTGAAACAGAAACTGTACCCAAATCTAGAGCACCTTTTCCAATGCATTGTCTATGGAGCAGCTCCATACCTTATACCCTATGACATCACAAATATGAGTTTTGGCACTCTGGCTTTAGGTGAGAGTTGTTCATGTTTACTTATATTTTTTACTATCTTAGACCAGAAGAGCAACATGTATGAATCGTGAAAATGAGTATAGTTCCCCTTTAATTTCTTTGCAAATGCATTTCAAAGTCCTGTGTCCATGCCTTAAACACCCATACAGGTCTGTGAATTAAACAGTCTCAGAAGAAGTTGCAAACGACTTACTAGTAGTCTTATTTAGTGTATTCAGTGCAGAACCTCACAGCTATACTTGGCAAAGCGTTGCTGTCCTGTGAAGAATGTATTTTCCTAAATATCAGCTTGTCATGGACACCTAAAAACAGCCGTGTTTTTTTTTTAGCTTTGTGCATTTTAAATGGTCTCGGCCCACATAGGAAACCTTATTCATACATTCATACCTTATTCATTTGATATACATTACTTTATATATTAGGAGAGGTCACATTTTTTACTGCACAGAATCCTTTTTTCAGATTCTAATATTTGTTTTCTTCCTTGTGAATCACTGGATAATTTTACCTCTTCAGGACCTGAAAGCATTTTCAAATAAAACAATGAAAACAAATTGATATTTGGTTGAAATGCTCACAACTCACTAACATATGCAACTAGTGCAGAGGGTTTGCAAGTGGACATTGCTTCATTTTAATGGGTTACAGGGGCTGAAAAGGTTGGGAACAGCTAATTTAAAGCATGGGTCTTAAACTTGGGGTTCGAGACCCCTGGGGTGTCCTCAGAGTTTCTTTTTTGGGGGTTGAAATAGTATTATTAGATAGATTGGTTTAAGTTTTTTGTTTTTCTTTTTCAAAAATAAAAATATGTCTTAAAATACACGTTAACATGAATTCAACATATTTATAAATAGAGATAAACCAGCATATTGATAAGAAATAACAATAAAAACAAAAACATTTAATTTACAGTACACTATATAAGTGACAGGCTAATTGATTCCCTTGAAACCTTGTGCAGTCATGTAAGCTAGTTAACGTCTCAACATTGTGCAGCTTCTATCCGTAACGGCGAGGTTTACTAGTTAGCTAACAGTTATGTACTATTGAAACATATTGGCCAATTAACTGTGATATTATTTCAAGTGTACAGACACTCTTTTGAGCCACAATGGATAGTTATGTAACTTTTTTGAACAAGAGACTCTGACACATCATCCACCTCAAAAACCACCAGCGAAAGAGCAGAAGGGGAGGCTAATGGACCAAGCCATGCTACTACTGCTTTATACTTAGAAGCTACGGGCAAGCGCAAACAAGAAAAGACCCAAACACATTCAGAGAATTATCTCAGCTGGAACTCAATTTTATACAATATACGTAGCAAGAGGTCCCTGCTCCGTCTCTATTTCAGCTAAAGTGTCCTTGGCTTGAAAATAGTTGAAGAGTCCTGATTTAAAGGTTGGATTTAGGTTTCCAATTTCTACCATCAATTACTGGAGTCAGAAAATTTAAATCTAAGCAAATGGATTGGAGTTGGGTAGAACTGAAGTTTCTCAATACTGCTGATCACAGTTCATTTCATTTTGTTTTAGGTCATTCCAGTGTGGAGTTCATGTGTGCTGAGGAGACAGATCTGATTCTTATCCACTCCAATAAGCTGAACTACACCAAATTTGAGAATGACATCATGGCGAAGCTCACCTCAGTCAGTGGGGCCAAAGCCCCCTCAATAAAGTCTTCCTGGCTCCAGACTGTGACTCAATACTTGGTCATACATCTGGATGGTAAACTGAAAAAAGACCAAAAGTACCACCTGTACACTGAATTTACTGGAGAGCTGGCTGATGACCTGGGAGGATTCTACAGGAGCGAATACATAGAGGACGGAAAGAAAAAGTATGTGTATTTGGTGTAATTAATATACATATATAATTTGAAAAAAAGTGAGTCCCATAAGATTCAGAAAATGCAGTGGCCAACAATATGAGAAGTTCCAAATAGGTTCTAATGCAACACATTTGCTATTTTAAAGGAGTAGCCTCACAGCTTATCTAGAGCTACACTAGATCTAATTTCATTAATATAGTCTTCTTTACTATCTTAAGTCTAGCTAAAAAAACAAGTGCAAAACTGTTTTACTGACATGTTTTATCTTGTTAGCTCGCAAAATAGTCAACACTTTACCTGGATTTTGTTCAGGTGCATGGTTGGTTCCTTTTAAGACTCATGCAACCGCTCTGCTTAAAAGTTATTGGTTGAGAAATGGCTTCAATGTCTAGCGTTAACTGGTCATGAAATAGCATTAATGTTATAACATTTCTATTTTTAAAGTCCTACTTGCACTGAACCAGTATTACCGTGGGACCTCATGTGATTTAGAGATTATCCTCCAATGTCTGTGTTTCCTGTGACACATTCACACCTGATGAGCAAAGTCCGTATTTGCTGACATTATCCCCCCAGATATGACAGTCAGTACACTCTACACAACACAGAAACATTGCATAGTACAGTGATGTACAGTGTGAACCCTCCTTTTTGAAAAAAAAGTGATTTAAACAAACAGAACCAAGTCTGACACACACTGTCACTTTACCCATCGTATCATCTTCCAAGATTTCTAGTTTTTAGCAAAATACATTAAATACTGCCGCTTTGTCAGTGATTTCTGCATCACCTTTTGCAGTGGAATTATACACCACGGACGGCTGCTATTTCTGATGCCACAGGCAACCATCAAGCTTTTCATATACAACCGCCTTGCCAGTAGGTGTCAGCTTCAGACACCAACATAGACACTCTTCATGACAGCATGATACACACAGGGCCGTGGCTATTTCTGACACCGCCGGCAACTACTGCAGTGTACAAGGGTGGGTTGGTCAAAAAAACATCGGACTTTCACCTGGGAGCACACTGTTCACTTCCAGTGCGAACCCCCAAAAAATCATGGAGTTAATTTATCAACAAGGTAGTGTGCTAGTATGTGTAGCATGCTACACTTGTGACATGCAAGTAAGACAGTTTTGGAGCCTTTGGAAAGTGGATTTTTTTTTCACTTTTGATCGTGCTTGCAGTTTCCTCCCTACTTCTAGTCTTTGGGCCAATGTAGGCTAAACATAACCGCACACTTTCATATGTATGCTCTGATTAGGTGAAACACTGCATAGATCTAAGTGTGCAGAAATCTTTTCTACCAGTTTGGACTTACTGATGTTTGCAGCACCTTGCCAAAACCAAGCTGGGTGGAGTGGTGGTTGTTCTACATAAGCTTCCTGCACTCCATAAAACTCCCTGTATATTCCATTTGTGTATCTTCTGACAGGGTTGTTGCCACTACTCAGATGCAGCCGACAGATGCCAGGAAGGCTTTCCCCTGTTTTGATGAGCCTGCTATGAAAGCTATTTTCCACATCACACTGAAGCACGACAGTGGAACTGTAGCCCTGTCCAATGGCGAGGTAAAAGGTCAGTTGCACTACAATATTTTGATGGATAATTTTAACAGTTTCAGACCAAATCAAAGGGGTATATGGGGAGGACAATGCTGGTCATTTCGTTTTACAACTGGATGTAACATAATTTGAGGGTGATCTCAGACTGTTAATTATTATTATTATTTTAAATTTATTTTCCACAGAATCAAGCACTAAAAATAATATCCAGACAACAGTTTTTAAGCCAACTGAGAAGATGTCCACCTACCTGTTGGCATTCATTGTCAGTGACTTTGCCTACATCAATAACACCATTGATGATGTTTTGGTAAGTGACTCCCAAAGAGTTTTTGTCAGTCTTTCATGAATGGAGTTTTTATTTCCAGGAAACTTAGAGGTGTGCATTTGTGGCTTTTAAAAATTCTACTAGGGGGCACCCGAATCATAGGAGTTTTTCAATCATACACATGGTATAGACGGGTATTTAAAATGACTTACAGCTCGACTTGAACTTTAACACCAATGACTCATGACTTCACTTGGACTGCAGTCTTTTGACTTGAAAATACTTGATATCTCCCCCAAGCCCAAAGATTAAAACGTATGTTATTTAAAAAGTGTGCCATGATTCAACTAATTTCCCTTCATCTCCTGAATTCACTAACATTAATGCTAGTCCCAGCAAGGCGACACTTAATTCTCCAGATCCACTTTCTTTGAACCAATTCAACAGCATCCAATCAGGTTGCAGGAGAGAACCATGAAGAACTAATGTTATGTTACTTTTAGCACAAGTTGAATTTTTTTTTATTGTTGTTCATGTACAAAAACTATGGGTGGTCATCAAAAAATGAAATATAGTATGCAAAATGTGTGGGCTCACAATTACAGACAGAGACACAACTACTTCCAAAAAACTTGTTTTAGCAAGTAAGTACAGACTTTAAAAAAAAACATTCAAGATTTTTATAACTTAATATAACATTACTCTGTTGTTGAAATGGCCCCACAATGGTGAGGAGTGTATTATGACTTGTTTATGACTCAAAACTCAAAGTTTAGGACTTGGAACTTGACTTGAATATTGTTAGTCTTGACTTGGGACTTGAGTGCTAAGACTTTAGACTTACTTGTGACTTGCACAACAATGGCTTGATCCCACCTCTGCTATTAGATCAGCAACTTTTATTTTAAATTTTACTGTATGGATTATATATTGTCTTTAAATAGGTAACTGGGCAAGGAAAATAAGGCTAGCCTACAAATATTTTTGTATAATGATGTGGAACAAAGTATTTGTTCCTAATTGACTACCAAGATTCTTATAGATTTGAGATTTGTGATTTAACTGGAAAATAAATTGTATATGTTGCTCACTTCTGTAATAGTTGCTCTCCCTTAATTAATAACATTCAAGAGCATCCCAAGATCAGAACTTACACACCCCAGTTTTGGTACAATGGCAGGTTATAATTGAGTTTTGCAACTTAACTTTTAATCATCTTACCTATACCTATTCCTGTTGGGAATAAGTATCCACACTCCTAACAAACAGCTCAGTCATTTTCCAACTGGATTTGTCAACTGGATTCTGTCATTACTCTAAAAACAGAACTCATGCCATCAGAGAGATTTTAAACATGATAAATTGAATAAAAGATCAACACATGGTAGCATTATTCAATTATGCAGTTAATGAGATTATATCAGTTTAAAACCAAAGAGCTTTCATGGTTTACTGACAATGATATTCAAGCTAACAGCATTGTGCATAGGGAAACTGAGTAATGTGTTTTTTTTGTGTGTATTGTGTGGTGTGGGTTTAGATCCGCATCTTCGCCCGGAAGTCGGCTATTAATGCTGGTCAAGGAGAGTACGCCCTTAACAAAACTGGACCAATCCTTAAGTTCTTTGAGGAGTATTACAATTACAGCTACCCTCTGCCCAAGTCTGGTAAGTTCACCACACATTATGATCTGATGCAATACTTTATTTTCATATCGTTTTTGCATTCATCTTTGTTTAAAGTATGCTATCAAATTTGTTACATGTATACTTTTTGCTGCTGCTGCTGCTGCTGCTGTATTAAAGCCAGTGTTACTTCCTGTTTTACTGTTTTACTGTTACCTGTTACCGTTCTTACTCAGAGAATGGGGGTGTGGATAAAAATGCGACATAATCCATGGTAACCGGATTGTCGTTTTAGCGTACGCGTCAAAGCAATATCATGGACATTAGCATGGAAAGCAATAGCTGTCAGTCTAACCTAGGTTATAAAGTGGAATTTTTTTCTATAACTCCCTGGGTAAATATGAATGAATATGAATCTAACGTTAACTGGAATTTAGCTGACGATTGCAAACAGTTGATATGGGTAACTTGTTTGTCTGCTAGTTTCTACAGTACCAACAAGTTAATGATATATTAAGTCCTGTCAATTAATATTTATAAGTAAGCTAGCCACACTGTAGCACCCAGTGGTCTGTGCCCATCCTCCAGCAAAAGCCTGCTGGGTTCAGTGTCACCTGGCAGACCTCCAGTGAATGAGGAGCTCCGGGCATTTGCAGCACAAGGGGAAGCCAAACACTACTCATTAGTACACACTGCCCACACTTCAGTGACACAGAACTGGTTGAAAATCAGCAGAGTTTCGATTTACATAGCCCACTATAGTCTGTAGATATTAACTTACTAATTTAACACAAACACTTTGCTGGGTCCAAAAACTGATCCCACACAATCCTAAAACAAAAGCTCACGTTATGTTTTGCCTGTGACCCGCAAACATATACTTATACAAAGGTTTGTATGATATCCCACGAATTGGTGCTCCACAAATGATGTTACGAACATAACATTAAGTTACATACTTAACATATTGCAATGTGGTTAGATTTAGGAAAAGACACATGGTATAGCATCTTTAGGTTTAGGCAAGTAAAGTAATTGTGGTTAGGTAAGGTTTCGGAAAAGAAACATGTTGAAGACGTACTTTAAAATGACTCATAACTTACATGGTTCCTAACACCCATCTCCTGAGAGAAAGTCCTGTGTTTTGTGTCCCATCCATCACCCCAACCTGTTTCCTTTTGGGACCGCTTACACAGATAATTAACGCATAATCATGAGACACATGAGACACAAATTACTGGCTCATGATTATGTGAGATATATACAAATTTTGGTGCATTACTTTTCGTGAGAAAACATACAAAAAGTGAATGACAATAGCCTAGACTCAGACGGCCCTACGCAGTAATGTGTGCTGCAGATGTAGCCAGTAAAAAAATAGATTCTGTGGCCCATCTGCCACACAAACAGTCTGCATCCATTAATGTCTTCAAGTGTACCCAGAATAAATAATAAGTTGACTAGCTAGCCCGGTTTGCTGCAAGAGCATGACAGTGCCAGTCATCTTAAACACCATATATAAAGTTCATCCTTCATCCTCTTCTTTTTTTTTATTTATGCAAGTGTTATCTTTTTAAGTACTGCTTGATGCTTGTATCTTTTCTTTGACATTTTATGACAGGATCACGAGTCACGATCACATAGTTTATCAATTATTAACAGATAAAACATGATAACTTGATTGTTTTACAGTCTTTCATGATAGTTGTTATTTGATGTCATCCAGTCTTTGTTGGCCAGCACATACAGTACATTTTGTTACACTGTTACACATTTCTTACTCTGGGTCATCCTCCCTCCACATCATGTTTCAACATTGGTACAGTTAGAACTTGTTTAACATGTTTAACTTACAAGCAGTAGTAACATCACAGGTATTTAACCACAAATAATATCTTTCATAATGCAGATCAGATAGCTCTACCAGACTTTAATGCTGGAGCCATGGAGAACTGGGGTCTGATCACATACAGAGAGACAGCACTGCTCTACGATGAAGCATTCTCCTCCAACTCCAACAAACAGAGGATTGCTACCATCATCGCTCATGAACTGGCTCACATGGTTAGATTTGAACACTGCAAACAGTGTCATGTCTCAATGTCTATGTAGTGGTCACTATTTTAACTTCTAATGGATTGTGATTCATTTTTAATCGTTTTGAAAAAAATAATTTGAAATTGAAGAAAAAAAGGTGGAGTGATTTTGTGTAACATTTAAAGAGAGACTTGTAAAGATCCCTTTTTAAGTCCGAGTAGATCATCGAGCCAATCAACATAATTCCATGAGAGCAAGTCCAAGCTGAATCTTATGTCATGTCAAAGCATGTTTCAATCAAGTCTCTAGTCCTTAAACACAATTCCAATTCCAGTCACAACTCATCACATCAAATCTCAAGTGAAATCTCAAATTCTGGCTGGCAAGTCTAAGTCAAGCCACAGGTCTTGCCAAAACAAGAAACAAGTCAAAACTATGGCCTTGAGGAGAAGTCCAAGTCAAATCTCAAGTCAAAGTCTCAAGTCCTACAGAGCCAGATTACATTTTATGACAAGTCTCATAGAAGCAGGTTTCAAATCTCAATTCTTAAGGGCAAGAATAAGTCAAGTCTTAGATATTGCCAAAGCAAGTCTGAAGTCAATTTTAAGGCCTTGAGGACAGCTCTAGCCAACTTTGTATGTAAACTGCATGTTAATTAGAGGACGTATTGGTATGCTGTAAAGTTTAAGCCAAGTCTCAATTCCTTGTTTTTTGGACGTCAGTTATACTCTATGTATAATCTTAGTAATTTGTATTATCTGTTACGTTACTCCATTGTGTTGGTTAGTCTGTGCATATGGCATCTATTGCTTGTCTGTTATTTTAACTGTTTCTTGGCATAGCATTCACACTGCTTTTTATGGGCTGTCCCTTTAGTGGTTTGGTAATCTGGTGACCCTGAGGTGGTGGAATGACTTGTGGCTGAATGAAGGCTTTGCATCTTACGTTGAGTACCTAGGAGCAGATCACGCTGAACCTAAGTGGAATGTGGTAAGGATTTCCCTCCCAACTCATGACCTCAATAATGACTGTGATGGATGATAGTGACATTGATTAGTATAGTTTTGACCATGCTGTGTTATTTTTGTCCTAATAGAAAGACCTCATCGTGCTCGGTGATGTCCACAGGGTGTTCGCTGTTGATGCCCTGGCCTCTTCTCACCCTCTATCCTCTAAAGAAGAGGACATAAAGACACCAGCACAGATCAGTGAGCTGTTTGATGCTATCTCATACAGCAAGGTAACCTAAAACTCTTGGACCTAAACAGCAGCAGAATACTCTACCCATCTCTGATTCTAAAATCAATCCACCCACGGTTATGGATTTAGCTTCTCTTCCATAGAAATCTGTTTGCTTTTTTTCCTCAAATATGTAAGATTTTACCACAATGTCCCAGCAAACGTGGTGACATTGTGTCACTGAACAAAATGGTCCCAGTCGGACGCCAAAAACTGCAATGTTGTGACATTGTTTCCACGTCCAGTAATGGTCCATTCAGACCCTCTTTAACAAATAAGAAAATACTGATCATATTATTGCTATGAAAAAAAACAAATGTGTGTTTGTTTTTAATACATCAAAATTGTATTGATAATTTTTGGGCTGTGATATGGTTGTGATCAGCCAGCCACACTGTGATGTCCACTCAGTGTCCAAAGACTAGTATTATTCGACGACCATTTTTCCATCCGTCCATCCATGAACGCGATATCTCAAAAATACCATGAGGGAATTTCTTCAAATTTGGCACAAATGTCCACTTGGACTTAACAATGAATCTGGTCAGTTTTTGGTGGTCATAGGTCAAGTTACTGTGACCTTATTTGTTTCATTCTTGTGAACGCGACATCTCAAGAACACCTTGAGGGAATTTTTTGCAATGTAGCACAAATTTCCACTTGGACACAAAGATGAACTGATTGGATTTTGGTGGTCAAGGTCACTGTGACCTTGCATCCATCTGTCTAGGTCACTGTAATCTTGCATCCAGCTATCTCATTCTTCAAATCTGGCACAAACATCCACTCAGACTCAACGATGAACTGATTAGATTTTGGTGGTTAAAGGTCAAGGTCAAGGTCACTGTGACATCACTCACAAAACATGTTGTTCACCATAACTCAGGAGTTCACAAAATTTCACAGAAAAGTCTAGTAGGATAAAATGAGGAAGTGATGACAGTTTATATCCAAAAGGTGAAATGTCAACTTTGTTGTGTGACACTAATGGTGACACTAGTCTTGGGTGTGCAGCTTGAAACTGGGCTGATTGTACAGATCATCTGTGCTTCTGGGGACAAGACATGTGTGATGCATCCATGTTTTTGCAACTTGACGAGTTTGCAGAAGCATACAACTGCAAGGCGGTAACATTTCAAATTTGTTTCCTCATTCTCAGGGAGCGTCTGTGCTGAGGATGTTGTCAGATTTTCTTACTGAAGAAGTCTTCACAGTGGGACTCAGGGTAAGAACTGCCTGGAGACATACAATATTGGGTCCATGTCATTGGTCCGACAGCCCATTGGTCCGACATCCCATTAGTCCGACGTCCTGTTGTTCTGATATGTGATTATACTAGGCTATGCTGTATCTGTGTACCATAGAGTATCAGCAAATGCAACAAAAGTAGGCTACTGGTCGAGATACAAGTGTCATAGAGAGGAGAGAATGAAACACCATAACCTCCTGTTATTAACTCTGGGATCTGGGTTGTGTGGGGAGCTCTCCGCGGTGCTGAATGGCTCCCGACGGGCGTATTTCTGCCTTGATGGTGCGCCGCGACCGGCTCTGGGTCAGCTGGGAAAGGCTTGAGGCGAAGCAGGCTCACGGCTTATGTGTTTGTCACTTTCTTTTTCATTTTAACCCACACCATGATCTTTTCCTGACCCTAACCAAGTGGTTTTTGTGCCTAAACCTAACCAGACCTTAACCACAGGGCATCATGATGATTTCGGAACAACGGGACTTGGGTTTAATATGGTCGGATTGGTCAGAAAAACAATGGGATGTCGGACCAATGGGTTGTCGGAATAATGGGCTGTCGGACCAATGGGCAGACCCCACAATATTTACCTGATTTGCATGGAGTAAGGGGGCTTTTGAATGATTGTTAAGTGTCTTTAAGGTGAAGTCTCAACACCTGCAAAGCAAAATGACTAATTTATCTCTTTGTTTTCTCCCCACCCTGCAGACCTACCTGACTGAATTCGCGTTTGGGAACACAGTCTACACAGACCTATGGGATCATCTGCAAATGGTATAGCTCTATAGATCTCGCATTTAGCTAGTGCTTTATTCAAAAGGATCTCTTGTATGTGCCAACTGACTCTTGACCATTACATCAATTTTTTCCATGTTTGTCTGCTTTCACAGGCTGTTGTGGCTAATAAAACTAAGCTTCCTGACAGTGTCCATAACATCATGAACACCTGGGTGTTGCAGATGGGCTTTCCCGTGGTTACTATAAATACCACGACTGGGGCTGTATCCCAGGAGCACTTTCTGTTGGATCCAGACTCTGAAGTCACTACTGATTCTCCCTTTAAGTGTGTACACAGCCTTTCATTCATTCATTTTACTATTTTTGCTGGTAATCGTGCTTATGCTAGTACACTGTTATTACCACTGCTTTAATAGTAATACTACTATCTTCACTACTACTACTACTAAAATGATGCTGCTGTGACTTTATTTTTATTCACTTTTACTTAAATGTCATGGTGATATAAGTGATACAGCCTCCCTTTCCCAGTTCTTGACAAAACAACGATTAAAACAAAGATTAAACTATACATAAATGTAATGATACAGTTGTTTATCCTACAGATATCAATGGATTGTTCCAATCCAGTGGATGAAGACTAAAGACATCCAGGGACTGAAATGGCTGGAGAGTAAATCAGGTAGGATGTACAGACACCAACAATAACGTGGTGATTTAGTGCTGATAAATGAAATAAAAACAGACTGACGGTTTAGTAAGTGAAGATTTAACATTTTTGGCAGTAGATACATAGTCATAAGCAGGCCTTTGTTAATGGCCAAGGTAAGTCAGATTTATTTAAATTAATTGCACGCGTCCTTGCCGCCAGCAGTTAAGAAAGAAACATGTTTTTTATAGGATATGACTGAATTAATCAAGTCAAAATAATGTAATATAACAGTAGAAAAATAAAACTTTAAAAAATAAAAGAACTACCTACATTACCTGACCAAGCCTAAACAAAGCTTGAAAGCATACTGTAAATGAGAAAAATACCCCATGAAAAAGAGTGGGCGGGCCAAGTAAGTATTCTTTGACCTGTGTTAGGAAGTTCACACTTCACAAGAGCTGGCTAAAAGTTCAGTTCACAACAATTAAAATGAACTAGTTCACATTCATAGTTCACAATTTGAATTTTAATTATGTTCACTGCCCCAAAAAATGACCTAGAATGAAGTAGAACCTCCATCCCAAGCCCCAGTCATTCCCACTGCCCACTTCTCAAACTAAATGAATAACTTTATACTAGTACAGAATCACAGACAGATATTACTTTAAAAGCCAAAAGATAACCATTGTCAGGATTCGAGCAGCCACCAGGAGTCAGTTAAGGGGCGGAGGAGCGAAGTAGTGCAGGAGAACATGCAGGCACAGCAGCTAGGAGTGAGTTCCAGTAGTCTAGACATGAAATGACAAGAGCCTCGACCAGAACTTAGGCCTCCTCCTGGGTGAGAAATGGGTGTATACTCCTGATGTTGTGGAGTATGAAACTACAGGAGTGGGTTGTACCTAATGGTACCGAGCTCTCTTTGTTCCTTTTTAAAAGTTGTTCTTAGCTGCTGTGTGAATTGCTCTTAAGAGTAAACTATTAATGAATAGCTCTTTAAAGTAAACTGTTGCTTTCATAACCTTTAGTCACATTTAGGAGGACTTCCAGTGATAAGATAAGATCCTTTGTGTGCCTCAAGTCTTTGTTATCTTCCTCCAGTCTCTCTCCTTTTCCCTCTTGTACTGAAGTCTCCACTGAGTCAGTTTTTTCAGATGCATTTTTTAAATCCGTCATCTGAAAAAAATCGTTGTTCACAGAAACCGTGCACTGACTCCAATGCTTTTTATTGTTCTATTTGTTGTGAAAATTAGCAATATGTGACAAAATTCAAAGACACATTTCCTCCTTTGCCTCTCTCCACTGGAGTTGCCTATCTGGATGTCACCAAGTCTTTCATGTGGCACCGCAGCCGTAAAAAGGGGCAGAGCCTTCCCACCTCTCAGTCCTCCACATTCTGTGTGCAGTCCACATCCTCCTCCTCATCATAATTATCCACAGGAATATTGCTATCTGACCCATTAAAAGTGAACTATCTGAGTTATGAAATGTTTCTGTGGACCCTGTTCCTTGTTGCAGCTGTGTCCCACACACACTGATTCTTGGTATAACAGCTCTTTAAAGCCTTCTGATGGATGTGAAAACTGCAGAAAATCAAACCTTGTCAGAAAATTTTAATGACGGACGAAAGTTTCGGACTCAGTGTGCAAACGTGATTGACACAAAGTGAAGTCGTATTTATTTCTAGATGTGCGACAATTACGGATGAAAAAAATGGACTGTTGAGGACAGTCCTCATTAATGCATCTGAAAGCACTTATTGACTTTCAAAGTCTGGCAGTCTGATTCACATCTTAGAAGAAAGCTCAAATATCAAATACTTTAGAGTTCACTGGCTGAGTTTGCAGAAAATCACCCCTCAGAACAAAAATAACAAGCAAACATTGACAATGTTAGACAAGTAAAATTCAGTATCTTACACTTTCTGGTCTCATGCATGACAATAATCATTAACTCGGACCTCGCATTTTTCTGTAGCCACAATTAATGAGATGAAGACAACAGGAGCTGAGTGGGTACTGGCCAACCTCGACGTGGTGGGGTACTACAGAGTCAACTATGACCAGGGCAACTGGGACAAACTTCTAAATGTTCTGACGACCAATCATGAGGTATATTTTAACGTAGAATAATGCGTGATCTCTACTTTTCAAAACTAATTATGAATGTGCTTTTTGACCTGAGTTGTTGTAGCAGTAGTGACAAGAATATTGCTCTTGTTTTTCAAGCTTATTCCAGTGATCAACAGAGCTCAGTTGGTGGATGATGCCTTTAACATGGCCAGGTAAGTCCTGCTAATAGAGTATCATATAAAGATGATGACATTAAAGAGTAAAGAGCTTAAGACTATTAAGACTATTGGACTAAACGATGATCAAGATGTATCAAAATCTGGAAATACCTTTCATTTTCACAACCTTGTAACCCCAAAGAGCAAAGGTCATCCGTACAGAACTGGCCCTTGATACCACCAAGTACCTGAATAAGGAGAGGGAATATATGCCCTGGGAGTCAGCGCTCACCAACCTGGACTTCTTCTACCTCATGTTTGACCGCAGCGAGGTTTATGGTCCCATGCAGGTGTGATTTCTTTCAGCCAAACATACCAGCATAAAAATCAAAAGAGCTAAAACACAAGTTACTTTTATGATTCTAATCTTCATGGATTACCATATTTCTTTATCTCTGTCTGGCTTGTTTTTAGACTTACCTGAGGAAACAGGTCACCCCTCTGTTTAAATACTATGAGAATATGACTGATAGCTGGAGCAAAGTACCTGATGGACACATGGATCAGTGAGTATAGAGAAATGTGTGGGCATCTACTTCTCCTGACATTATTCTTTTTAAGAGAGGCAACAACAAAATATGGAACTTGCAGATAAAAAAAGTTAAACATTAAAGAACAGAACAACACTTTATAAACAGGTTATCTGTTTTAACAGTTGGTTCTGCTTTCTTGTTTTCAAGAATAAAATTTAACGGAACAGAATTTAACATGCTCGTTTCCTTGCCCTTCTGGTGGGATGACATATATAGCGTGAGCGACAAGATGACAGCTTCTAAAAAAAGCTGGTTCAAGAATATAAGCAAAACAAGCCTGAAAAAGGCACTAAGAACGGCGTCGTCAAGCACCTTGTTATCCGGAACGAGGGCTACAGTGTTTTCTTCCAGTAAATGTAAACACATAACATCCGCCCCGCCCCTATCCAATCAGAAACCTTCCCTGCCCCAAACCTTGCGCAGACCCGAATAAAGGCGATTAAACTGATCTCCTGTGTAAACCCTCATTCGGAATGAATATTTCCCATGTAAACTACCTGGAAAGACTTTAATTCTGAATGATTTCATTCAGATTTATTTCATTCCGAATGAGAAGCCATCATGTAACCGCACCCACTGATGTGCATTTTATGATAATTATATTATAGTATATTTAAATGGAGTCTTGTGGTTTGGCGATGGCGATTTCATGGCTGTTTCTGTTCAATACTGGACCAATTAAAAAAAAAAAAAAAATGTTACCATCAGTTACTTAGACATAAATAACGTGAAAATAGGGTCCAAGATGAAAAACGCCAGTGTTACCCTTTAATTAAATTACGGGTAATAGGTTTCATCTCCCCAAAACACCTCAAAATTAGGATCTTCTCTGACCCATTATAAGTCAACAATGGGCAGCTTTAGTTTGCAGTCCCAAGCGCAGCTTGACTAGTTGTAAAGTCCACCGTTGGGATCATTTTAGCAGTAGCCTCTAGGAAACAGGGTCCTTTGTTACACTGTATAAGGAAGTGTACCCACTGTTGATACTGTTTTGTTTTTTTGAGTTTACAATTGTCATAATTTAACACACTATTCAAATAATGCATCAAATATTTTCCTTATGAAATAATGACTTTTAGATGTGACAAATCTTTTTTGTACTGAAGGTCTTGAGCTCTTGGGCAACCAAAGCTGTAGTTTATCTCACATTTACAGTTATGTTGTTTTTAATTATTCATTTATGACTAAGAACTGGTCAGCTCTGTTGCCCCGTTACACTGAGTCAGTTTTGTTTACGTACGAATTTCCAACTTGTAGTGACTGTAGTAACATTAGCCCATTGTAGGAGCTTTGGTTTGGCCATGAATCGCTGTCTAGCTGTAAACATTCTATAACCTTGCTAGCTTACAGTGGCTAGCATTACAACTGGCTAGTGTTTGCTTTTATTAGTCAATGTTAATATTACAACGAAAAAGGCCTTAACAGAGGTGACCACACTTTATAGTCCTGTCACCCCATAGAGTGTCCCAGGAATTAGTCCTAATACAAAGAAAATAGTTAGCATTTTATCATTTGTGGCTCCCTCGTCTCAAAGTCAATGGATTTTTTGAATGGGTTTTTGGTTAGATGCCTAAGTGCTTTGGGGGCGATGTTAAGTCGCCCCCAAAGCACAACTGATAGACTAACGTTAGCTTTTTACATATGACTATTGCATTTAGACTTCAAAAATAACAAAAGAGGTTTTCATTTGTGAAAATTATATTGCAAAACAAAATTCTAAGTAACATAAATGTTTGTTTGCCACAGGGCTTATTTTCTGCAATAATCTAAAATCCATTGGGAAACATCTCATAGGCTTTTCGGCAAGGGAATCAAGGTGATGCTAACTTCCACGTCAGCCTACAGAAAAATGTCATCCCTGAAGCACCCTATTGCTGTCAAGCACAGAACCCAGTGTATTGATGTTATGTATGGTGCCGTTTGTTGCTGGAAAACATAATGCTAACTGTAAAGAGGCAAAGCTAAACAGGTGCTACTCAGATTATCCCTCTCAAGATGAAACTGTATTTTAGACTAAACGCTACTTAGGTTCAAATGATAGAGACTACCCACATTGTATTCTTGTTCCCTCTAGAGAACTGCACAAACACTTGTTTCATTTAAGCCTATTTCCTCTGTCCTCAAGCACACTCTTCATGTTTTCTTTCTTTCACCTGTTACTGTTAATGCACCATCTCCTTCCTTTTTCTCCTTCCTCCAGGTATAATCAGGTGAATGCTATCAGCCTGGCTTGCAGAACAGGCCATGAGGAATGCCAAAATCTGACCAAGACATGGTTCAAACAATGGATGGACACTGATGAAAATCAGTGAGTGTATATACCCCAAGATGTAACTCATATTACCCTTCCACTGTTTCATTTACTCTTTATTGAACTTTAAGTGCAATCATCTGTTCATCATCTATAGTTTGCTGAACTTTAAAGATGTCCTTTTGCTTCAGGATCAACCCCAACCTGCGCTCCACTGTGTACTGTAATGCCATTGCAGCAGGTGGCGCTAAAGAGTGGGAGTTTGCTTGGTCAAAGTTTGAGAATGCCACCATCGCTACTGAAGCTGAAAAACTCCGCTCTGCCCTGGCCTGCACCAAGCAGCCCTGGCTGCTCAACAGGTCTGCTTCCACACAGTCTTGTTAATATGTTATACAGTGTGCTACAGCACATAACGGACAGTTACTGACCAGTACACAAATACTCTGCCTGCTGTTCTGCTTGTGCCATTTCAGGTACCTGGAGTATACTCTGAACCCAGACATGATCCGAAAGCAGGATGCAACCTCCACCATTGTCTACATTGCCAACAATGTGGTTGGTCAGCCTCTGGCATGGGACTTTGTGAGGGCTCGGTGGTCATACATTTTCACACAGTGAGTACAACACAGTACAACACAATGCACTCCTATGGAACATTAGAAAAGTAGTAGTCTATAACAATGTTTTTCAAAATGAACCAAGTCTGTTTAGCATTACAATTTATAGAAAACATGACAACTGTAAAGGTACTGAAATGCACTTAATGATTCTGAGTAAAAGGTTGCTATAATTGCAGGTATATGGTGTGTTAGGTAACATATCTCTGTGACCTGTCATTTTCACATGCTCAACTAAAGCACAATTACACAATAAAAGATCCATTGTCTCACCATCACATAGCAGATAGACAGTTTTACAATCAGGTTTATTATCAGTGACAGATTTATTGATGCTCAGTGTAATATAAACTTTGGTCTTGACTCCTCATAAAACATGCAGGCTTCCTGTTGACAGAGAATAACAAGGGTGCTGAGTGTGGTTTCACTACAGCTGAATTAAGTTAGTCGTTTGTTGTTTCAGTGGTCATTCTGTAGACTTTTTTGTGTCATTTTGACAAGTATAACTAGTACAACAACCAATTAGCTTTTAAATAGAAAATATATAATTAGTTGTTTTGAAGACCCTCTATTTTAACTTTACACGCAACATAAAGTAAACATCTTTGACAGATTGAGATAAAAGGGAAACTTAAGTATTTTTCAACTGAACCCTATCTTCCTATGGTTTTGTGTCTAAATGACTAGTAGAGACAACAATTTTTAAAACTGATCCAGCATTTAGAGAGACCACTTCATGCACAGCGTTAAAACACACTGCAGTGTAATCTCTATGGCAATTGTGCACTGTCAATTTACTTCCATCAAAAGTGCTTGTTTTTGCCACTGACACACTCAGGTTGTTGTTCTAAGTGTCTGTCAACATTATGGAAAGGACTCTACAGAAAATTAAATATTTTTCTTTACCTTTTGCTGATCAAGTCTATCCATTAGTAGCAAAATGCTATGCTTATACTTTACAAGAGTTGATGCCGACAATGTTGCCACAAGTTCAACAACCCCTTCTGCACATCAGGGCAGAAACACGAACAATCTTAAAAAAAAAAAAAAATAGTGAAAACTTATCACATATAGGCAGAGAAATGTACAGTTTTCGACCGCTTTGCTCATAGTTCATCTCCTGTTACCCCATCCACCTCGGGTATGTTATGTCTATAACAGTAATTCATTCAGTTTGCTGAGGTTTCTACCATTTTTTTCCCTGTTAAAGGGATAGTGCACCCAAAAATGAAAATTCAGCCATTATCTACTCACCCATATGCCAATGGAGGCTCAGATCAAGTTTTAGAGTCCTCACAACACTTGCGGAGATCCAAGGGGAGAGGAGGTAGCAACACAACTCCACCTAATGGCTGACGGCACCCCAGATTCAAAAGTCCAAAATCACATAATTGAAACCTCAAAATATCTCCATACTGCTCGTCTGTAGTGATCCAAGTGTCCTGAAGCCCCGACATAAAAAGTTATTTGGAAAACCGTCATTTGAACTCTGTTTTTAGCCTCATTGTAGCCTGTAGCTCTAACTGCCTCTCTGTACATTGCGTTCACGTGTGCGCTCTTGCGGATCCAGGTTAAAATTACCAAAGTTATCCCTAAAGTTATTTGGTCTGACTTCAAGTCTCAGGCCTGACCTGTAAAAACTTGATCATTCCTGTATTTCCTGGAAATTATTAGTTTCATTTTGTGCACTTGAAATTATCTCCATGGAAAAATGACAAACAAAAAAGAGCCTATAATTGTATTGCTGTGATATGTACAGTACTGTAAGGAAGCACAATCCATGCAATTATGGCATGCCCTTCTTTTTCTAATAATGGAGTCTTGGTTTATGCTAAATAATTATAAAAAAGGTCATTGTGTAATGAGTACCTAAGTGTTGCTGTTACTACTGAGTGGCATGTTGGTACAGAGAACTGTTTTGAGAGAATGAACCCAGGATGGAGAAATTTGTTTTCCCAATAGTAAACACATGGCACTTTGCAGACAAATGGACCTGATGATGGGTTATGTCTTGGCTTTGTTTTCCCTCACAGGTATGGTGGTGGATCATTCTCCTTCTCCAACCTCATCAATGGAGTCACAAAGCGCTTCTCCACTGACTTTGAGCTTCAACAGGTTAGATATTCTAGATGCCTTTTTTTGAAGTTTTTTAAAATTAATTTATTTTTTTATAATAAGTTTTGCCCAAAATCAAACATAGCTGAATCTTTACTTAAGCAATATCACACTGTGATTCGGTCATAGACACGAGGCCACAGGCCGAGTGCCGAAGACAATCACAGCCGTGACGATATCACAGTACAACATCACGAGCTTGAGTGTGATATTGCTTTTATACAACAGTTCAGCAGTTAAATAAGCAAGGCTGATTAAGAAATGTTGAAAAATGAGGACAAAATAGATAATTTAAGCATTTTATTTGTCTTCCGCCAATGAAAATAGTTCCCTCAGGACTCCGCTGTCACCGTTGCTATGTAACGCAGACATGGTGCGCCAGGCACTTACTCTTCAAACACATTTATCTACACATTTCCATTAATTGTGCAGCCGGTGAAATAAGTCTCTGGTGACTGCATGGTGGACTGTTGCTTCACAGGCACAGCCGACTCCGCCTTCTGATCTGACAGTATGTTTCTCCATCGTTTCCTGCTCTCCATGGATGGCTTCCAGTAGCTTTTTAACGAGCTCTCAGACCTGCAAGACAAAAGTTACATTTTAGGGCCTGACTCCTAATTAGAAGACTAACTTTACACATAGGCTACATTAAAACAACATCATACCTGTGCCCACTCACTGTCATGATCTCCCTCGCTTCAAGACCCGCATCTGACAACTTCCGTATGGCAGTTGCCCTAAGACTGTGATTGGTGTAGATAGCTGTTGTCCCCGCCTCTTTACACATCTTCGGCAGCATCTGTGTGAGTGAGTTTATTCCCAGTGGAGCTTTAGTGTACCAGATATTGTCTGTGTGAGGCGAGCTGCTGTCATCCTGGGCTTCAGATAAAGGGCATTTGCATCTGGTGGAAGTTTGTTTAAATACTTTTCCAGGGATGCAACGCAACTGCTGACCTAACTGACACTAACCGTCAGTTTTGATTTGATTGTTGATTGCAATCAGCTGTGAGGCGGAGTGATACATACACAGTGAAATAACCTGTTGTTGTTGTACTCCAATATCGTCACAGTTTTACTGTCTCTCGACCAATCAGATTGCAGGGCCGGAACTAACTGTTGTATAATTTAAGGTATATTATGTTTTAGTGCCATTCACTTGGTTCCTTTTGTTATACTATGCTATTAAATGTGCTGTAGGTCAGTGGTTCCTGACTGGTAAGTTGTGGTCCAAAAGTGGGTTGCAGGTCCGTGGTCTAACGTTACCGCACAACTTTATCCAAAGGAGACACATTTCTCGGTTGAGATGTGGTTTAAGAAAGAGTAAAAAATATACCCTGTCGCCCAGCCTCTCAGGATAGCTTGTGTCGGAGTTGCATGTACCCCATGCACACTGTTTGATCATTTTTAAACTTCAAATCTCCGAAAAAGCTCATGAAACCAGAAAAAAACTGACTTTCTATAATGCATTTCAATGAACGTCCTGTGGCTGGACCAGTTGGGAACCACTGCTGTAGATAACAGCATGTGACTAAGTCCCAAGTAATTCTCTAGTTTTAAGGCACCAGTTTTTAATGCAACAGTGGATTTTGTTCTTTTATGGTGAGCCATTGAATGAAAAGTTGGTTAGAAACATGGATGTATCAAGACAACTGGATACAGTGTTGAAGGTGGGGCCATGTTCATTCCTCATAAGTTCAACTTCTCAAGTATAAAATTATCCCAGTCTTCCACATCATTGGGCCCACATAGCAAGCGCACTAGAAACGGTACTTCTAGACTTTTAAAATGTTATCAGACCAAATGGATTAAATCTCCATAGTGAAATTAGTCATTGTATGGGGGTTGTGATGCTTAAAATATTCTATCCACTGATTTACAGATATCTCTTATGGGACCATCCCTGGGGGGCTGGTTTCAACTCAGTGAAATCCCTAGTAATTAAACCCATCCCCCTGACAGCGATTGTCCTATCATAGTTCAGCAACCTTAACTAGGAATGGCAAGTCTGTTAAGGTTTAAATTTCCACACATGTTAAATATCTGCATAGGGTAGAGTGGTCTACTCACCATTTAAAGAGATTTGAGGATTTTGTCTTTTTTCTAGCCTTTCCAAAAACAGGCTAAAACCTCATGAACAGATGAAACTGTGTTTTTCTGGTCCAACCATACACTGTGCAACATGGATCTAATAAACTTGGGTACGACATCAAGTTTGATGTATGCACACTGTATGATCCAAGCCAGCAACCTGTCAGTTAGACCCTCTTCCCACCATCCTAGTAAAAGTCTGCTTACCCTCTCTGTCCTCCCTAATAACTGCTATCATACATTCCTCCCTCACCTCTGGTATTGTTCCTTCAGCCCTCAAATCAGCTGCAGTAATGCCCATTCTTAAGAAACCTGGTTCAGACCCCAACAATTTCAATAACCTCCATCCTATCTCTAATCTACCTTTCCTTTCTAAAATCCTTGAAAAAACTGTTGCATCTCAGGTTCATGCTCATCTCTCTGACAATAACCTTTATGAGCAATTCCAGTCTGGTTTCCGCTCCCTCCATAGCACAGAAACAGCCTTGGTAAAAATCACAAATGACCTCCTCTTGGCAGCTGGCTCTGGACTCCTATCCATTCTCATTCTACTGGATCTGAGTGCGGCATCTGACACCACTTCTCACAACATCCTCCTTAACAGACTGGCCAACGTAACAATGTAGTGTGCTAGTGTGTGTGTGTGTATCATGCTACACTAGTGACGTATGTCACTTGACATATGTCACACAACATGAAAAGCTGTTTTTTCTAAACCTAACCAGGGACTTTTTTTGCCTAAACGTAATGAAATAAAGATGAAAACGAAGTGTTTTATCTATGTCGTAGGCTTATTTTGAAAAAAGACTTTAAATTTCCTGTGAAAACAGAAGTGTATTTTGAGAGACACAATGCATGTTATAACAGTCAACTGAGACGCCAGAATGTCCAAACAAGATGAAGGAGGCTACCTAATGTTTCATATAATGACGTTTTGGTCCACTGACAAAACAGCAGTATTTCACAGTTGGGATGAGAAGGGGTTACCAATCTAGACTGTTACCTACATTATTAATCAAGCAATACGCACGGCAAAGAAGCACATGACTAACTAACTACATTAGTTTAAGGGGTTACAGGTTACATTAAAAATGCCCTGTTCACAACTATTAAGTATTTCTCCTCTGTGACTTTTACTGACAAACATAAATAGGTTACATGGTGTTAAACCAGGGTATTACATAAGCAGGCTTACATAAATGAAAATATACAAAAATAAAGATAAACCGGGTACAAGAATACAGATAAAGAGGTATATTCAGTTAGAGGATTCGCGGAGGAAAGTTGCATAATTTTCAATTATATATGGATATATCGGTATCGGTTATCGGCCAAATGGGTTCTTATATGTTGACTTATTGGATACTGGCAAAAAATCAAATATCGTGCATACCTAAAATTACTATTTGGAGTCCAGGGTGGGGCAGAAATATTGACAGTGCTCAAGCCCCACAGAAGCCACAGTTAGTGCCCCGGTGCTGATTAACATACAGGAATACCTCACATATGCAGGAGATCCAGATTATCTAGACAACCAATACAAATCAATTTGGGATTGATTTTAGTAATACAGTAATTTCTGTACTGGCCCTAAATGTGGTCATGTTTCAAGCATGTCAATTTGTGTGTACAGTCAGTGTGCCTTCAAGCCATTTGACTCCATGTGCTACCTGTGTGTTTTAGTACAGCTGCACTTTATGATGGTCTCTGTGTTGTCATTTGTTGCTGTCTGACTTCAAATGACCGTTCCCCAAACAAGACACTCATTTTATGTTTTCTTTGTGACAGCTGAAGCAGTTTAAGGAGGACAACTCTGAGGTTGGTTTTGGCTCTGGGACCCTGGCAGTGGATCAGTCCATTGAGAGAACCACCAGCAACATTAAATGGATCAAAGACAACAAGGACAATGTTCTGAAATGGTTTGAAGATGAAGTAAAACCTAACTAACTCTGTGTTTACTTGTACTTCATGTAATTTAAGATGGTCCTTTTTTCACCAAAATAAATAATGCTTGGAGATTCTACATCCTAAATGAAAGCAAATTTCGCTAGCTCTGCCTAGTAGTTTGTCAGTACCTGAATCTAAACATGTTATTCTGCAAATAATGTGATTAACAGAATAACAGATAATTATTCTACCCAAAGTTGCAATGTTATTCAGGGAAAGAGCCATGACTGACATGTTTGTGTTTCAGGCATTATGTTTCTTCAAATCGATTCATATCATTGTGGATGGCCAAAATATAAAAATTCTTGTTTGCAACGTGCATACATACATACATACATACATACATACATACATACATGACTTTGATTTCACTTAATATCTTATTTTATTTAACCTTTACTTAACCAGAAAAACATTTTAAGATTAAAAGTTTTTAAAAAAAGGTTACTGACAGACAACATAGAACGAAAATACAAAATAAAAACATACAGGTCTAAAACAAGCAATATAAAACACAAAATGAGGCTGCTGCAAGAAAAGCCAAAAAGTACATTAATATGTATTATCAGTGAACCATAAAAAGAAAATAAAAAAGAAAACATGATTACAAAGACCAGCTAAAATACACCCTGACATTGGCATATAGATGATTGCGTACAAAAATCCTGCAACAGCGCTTTGAAACGGCCAAGAGGAATTGAGTGCAACTTTGAGTTCTTCTGCAGAATATTCCACATATAAGGAGCTGCATACATAAATGCTTGTTTGCTATACTCTGTAGGTACTCTAGGTACAGACAATAAAGACATGTTCTGTGAACGAAGAGCATAGCCATTTTCAATATTTTGCTTGATGTACACACACAAATACAGGCTTACAGTTAGTAATAAATCTCAATGCACCATGATACGCAGAGTCCAGAGCATGCAAACACTAGAAGGATGGAGTCCAAACTATCATATCGAGGAGGAGGAGGAGGAGGAGGAGGGCTGGAGTAGGGAGACAGCAGTCTAGTTTTGCAGCTAGATTTCTTTTAAACTCCTGAAAATTATATGTGTGATCATAAAATTATAATTTTGCATATCCATGTCAATCTGGGTAAAAACACAAGACATAATTAAAAATGCCCCTATTTGGTCTTTCCTAAATATCAGCTGACCATAAGAACTACCCTAATTTTTTATGACTTTTTACTTGACTCTGTATGTAATAATGAGCCCCTTAAGTGCTAATGCTTTGTATACCAAGACTTTGTTTTTACATGTCACTTTTACATGATTTCAAGTGACCTAAATCTTGAAGATACCTCCAAAACAAAATAATTTATGGTAAAAAAAGAATTGTTATTGAAGACATTATTCATTGTTCAAATTCTACAAAAGGTTATGATAGCTGTCATCTAAGAACATCACAAGCCAGCCTGAGCCAATGATTTTATTGTGTTTCTACTTTTCATTGGACAAAACAAGGAGATCCCTGTCAAGGTGTTCTTCTATTTATTTAGATCCATAAAGCAAATATAGCCGTGGTCACACATAATACATCCAAAAAATGCATTTGCTTTACAGCTAATGCACATTAACTACGTACAATTTTGTAAACTGGATATATGTAAATATGTACATCTTTAAAAATGAAATGGTTAAATTTGTCCTCAGGATATTGCTGTGTATATGAAAAAAGTAATATCGTTTTACAGACAATGATTTCCATCTTGTGCTGACACCAGATACTTTTAGATATGTGAAGGCATGGATTGTACTCTACTCTGGAAAGGAGAATAAATACATTTGTTAAAAGTTTACTGTGTCCTCTGTCTGTCTAAATACATTACTTCTGGTATATTATGGTTCCTGTAGCCAGTCATTATTCTGCAGGGTCTTCCATAAGCACCAGCATGTCATTTTGGACATTAAAACATTTCCAGCCAACTACTTAATTACAGTTAAAAGTCACATCACCGTCACTTTTTAAATCTTGATCACTTCTAACAATATCTTTTACCTGGAAGAAGGATTTTAGTCACTGGATGTCTGAATTTAGAAAAAAAAAACCCTTTTATTTCGGCTTCAACATCTTATTCAATCATATTCACAATGTTGCCTAAAGTTAATGGGCAGGCATACAGCACATATGTCCAGTCCCATGCTAAACTTCCTAAACAGGGACTGGGGGCAAACAGTCTTAATGATGGCGCTACAGTGACTGTTTAATGTTCAGAACTTTGAAAATTCATAACAAATCACCTGTATGGTCTATGGCTTTGCAACTTTCACTAAACTGTAGGCCAAATTGTGAAGACACTGTTGTAAAATCCAACTTTGTGCAAATTATGAAGTCGCCAAGGTGGCGCCAAGCTAAAAAAATCCTATGGAATCCTGTCTGTTGCCTCTTTAACTTAGACCTGTTGTCCTTGCTCGTAGACACTTTTTTGTGCCATCTAGTGGTAGTATGAGCACAATACCCTAATCCACATAAAAACAACATGGCAGCCATCTCTGCCAAGTCTGCAGCCAATCTTGAACCAAAAGTGGACAAGGTACAAAACCTGTTCACATTTTATTGTTGAAACTTGTTTATTTATGAATAATAAAGTTTGCAGTTTACTAAGGCGAATTTTAGCAACAGCAATAAGCTAAGACACTGTTAATTACAAAGTACTTGTCTGAAGACATCGGGACTTTATTGTCGTCTTGTTTGATGACACTGGGACTTTATCATCGTCTCATTTGAGGACACTAGGACTTTGTTATTGTTGACAATGTTTAGTTTTTTATACTTATGAGATCCTACTAATCCCAAATCGAAACTGAAAATGCATACCAAACAAAAGTTCGGGTCTCAGGAGTATATATTTTCTCCACTGCGGACATCTGGATCTTATCAGAGAAACAAGGTGAGTTATGGTGAGCAGTAGCTGGGCTCGCCTCCTGCATGCCCCCTCAACACTAAAGGACATCCTGTCAGCCAAAGAAAGTGATGGCCAAAAATGAACGAACCAATCATTTTGAAGGACTCGTTAGTTAGGCCTACTGATATGTAACAGGTCATCCCTTCGAATGTCTGACACTTGCACACTTGCTGTTATTGTAAGGTACAGCTCATGCTGCCTGCGATGTTGAGTCAACGAGAAGCGATGGAATCGGACTTGAGTCAAGACAGTGCCTCCTCATGTTTGAAGTAGACTGGTTTATGCAAATGTTGGCTTTTGTGTATGTTCATCGTGTTAGACTACATGGGAATAAAAGCAAGATATAGAAAATAATATTCAGTCTGGGAAACACTTTATAGTAACGATTAGTTATAAGTAATTTATATGCCATTAGTTAATAATGAACTAATCATCAACAAAACATTTTTGTCGATATTCATTATTAATCAATAGCTTATAAATTACTTATGAGTGATCGTTATTATAAAGTGTCACCAATTATTGTTACAGAGAAGAATTCCAGTACTGTTTACAATACAGATTACCATTAAGAAACCTGTCCATGAATGAAGCTGCTTCCTTGAATGTCACTTTAACAGAACTAAAGATTTGACCTATAAACACTGTGAGACAAAGACAATAAAACCTTTGTGTCATACACATGTGAATTCTCAGCTGACAGCAGTGCAGTGTTCTGTGACTGATAATGTGAACTTCCACTAAAACATTATTGTAGGTAATTCATCACTCTTATCTCTCACTTCTGAGCCAACTGTTATCAACAGTTTCTACTTCCACCATTCCCATGCTGTCCTAATATATCATCCATTGATTGCAAATGGTGAGAGCACTCGATTGAGAGAGATAATGGAATGGAGTGGGGGTGGGGTTGGTGTCAGCAGTTAAAACCTGACATTCACTTTTGTGTGCCATTCTGTGTGCGATCTTAGACTCAGCGAACCAGACTTAGTTTTAATCAGACTTTTTAACATTTGCTATCTAGTAGCAATTTAGGGGTGCACTAAAGGGTGAAGAAGTAGTTTTAGTCAACAGTTCTCCTCTCAGTGATTCAGTTTTGACTTCTGTGCTGTTTATTAGACCATGGGGAAATGCTGCAAAGTCAGCAAGCTGTGCATACTGTTTGTGGTCTTAGCCCTGATCTCCATAGCAACCATTGTCACGTTGTGGACTATTGCCCTGACAGGAGGAGATGATATTGATGACGTCACAGCTCCTTGGGACAGGTAAGACACTGGTCTGACAAAGAGTTTGACACTTCTGTGTCTTTGAAGGATGATAATACATAACACAAACATTGCTGACATTAAAAGTAAAGTAAAAGTGCAGACAGATGTATTGTGCATCACAGGATGGTGAATAATGGTGCAATACGACATGAATGGGATAAGCTTTGATCAATAAATCTTGGGCTATCTCTAATGCTGGTTGATTTTTTATTCGTAAAGACTGCAACTCTATTGAATGAAAGCAAAATTGGCTGAACTTCAGCTTCGCTAAAAGCTTTTTGTCGTTAGCATTAGTATTTCTCCATGGCTAAAAGTGAAACAACAAAAGTAACATAACGGATAAGTGAAATGACATCATTGTGACTATTGTTATAAGGTTCACCTATTTAAAACAAATGCAGGGTAATCTAATGTTCTTGTTGAACCTTTTTAGATAGGTGTTGATTCAACACTATCGGTGCGGGTACCCTAACTGACCTATGCAGAGGTGGTTTATCTTGTTTGTCTATTGATGGACAGAAAGAAGATACATACAAGCATACATCCTGCTTAGACTTGCAGTAAAAGGATATTTTTGCATATTGTTGCATAAGATGTACATGTATCTCACTATATTAATGTAACCTCAAACAACAAGTTGAAGGTGACAACTCGCCCCCACAAGGCTGTAGGCCACATAGGAGTCGTGAAATGTCATCTTGTTGTGTTATTAGGTGCCAGAATAGAAGGAGTCATGGCTCAAAACTTAAATTTTATCGCATACCAGCCGCCACTGCCCGTCAGCAAAAAGAAGGACAACTATGGTTAAATGCGATAAGATGAAAGGACTGGACAGAGGAGATCATCAAAAATGCTCACATGTGCAGCACACACATCATCAAAAACCATCTCTCAGTAGAGGAGGAG